TACAGTTTACTAGACAGTTTACTAGACATGGAGTCATCCCAGTATCTTAGGACTCCATGTCTAGTAAACTGTTACAATTATCAGGCACATAGTAGCTCATTCCTTATATAGAAGGTTTGGCATCCTGATGGCTTATGTTTTGCCATTCATACTCAGCCGACTTTTGTCTGTAAATTTATGCAAAGGTAGACACACCTACCTTTGTTCTTAAACCCCCAAAGCTCCCAGCCACACACAGATTCCCTACTCAAAAGTTGATGTTCCTCTAAGACCCAAGCTATTCCTCCACAATGCTGCCCTTATTGCCCACACTCATTGCATTGGTTGCCTGTTCCTCAGGTATGTAGCATTGTACAGTTTAATTCATTCCCCATTAAGTTGGGACACAGTGTTATCATGTGTTGTGGCTTTGCCTGCCTCATATAACGATTTTCCTTCCTCCAACAGGTGTGATCTCAGAAGTGGTTCTCACTCAGTCAGATTCAGTACTTAAAAAACCTGGGGGCTCCCATAAACTGACCTGCTCTGTGACTGGATTTGATCCTGGCAGTTACTGGATGTACTGGATCAGACAGAAATCTGGAGGTGGACTGGAATGGCTTGTTAGCTACTTAACAGCTACAAGCAACAATGCTTATTCTTCTACCATCCAAGGGCGATTCACAGCTTCAAAAGACAGCTCCAACTTCTATCTACAAATGGCCAATCTCAAGGTGGAGGACTCAGCGGTGTATTACTGTGCAAGAGACACAGTGAAAGGAATCCAAGGGACTTCAGCCAAAAACCTTTCACTGTGTCAGCTTTACAGAGAAGTGAACAGAGAGGGGCACCAGAAAGCCACAAACCAGAAGTGGTGATGACTTCCTGACATAACAATCTCATGTTTATTATTCATAGTCAACAAGGGTTATTCTTTGTCCCAGTTTGATTTTTCTGAGTCTTGTTTTGGAGTGCTCCCTTCAAGAACTTCCAAACTGCTGCATCAGATCTGAGCGATGACCCACAACCACTCAGGATATTCATCTATCCCTCAGATATTATTTGCCAGTGTTTCTTCAAGAGCTCTACAAATGTGTAGCAGCTCCCTGATAGAAGTCATCAAGGAGTTGAACCAGTTCCTATTTCATTGTGGACTAAAGCCACTCCATTGTCTGTCAGTTAGTTTCTGGGCAAAG